CACCCACCCCCTTCCCTTACTCCCACTCACGTCCACACAGGTGATGGCTACCAGAAGCTGCTGTCCGTCCTGCAGACGCTGGAGCAGGAGAAGGGCCGGCAGGCCGGCTTGGTGTCAGCCACCCAGGCTAGGCTGGACGAGGCTCAGCAGGAGATCGCTGCCCTGCAGGACAGCATGAGCCAGCGCTCGAGCCACTTTCAGCGCCTGCACGGCGAGATGCTGGAAAAGGCCTCAGCGGCAGGTGGCCTGGAGAGGGAGGTGGGCAGCAGCACATGGGCGGGGGCAGGCTTTGGCCGAAGTCTCCCAGAAAAGTTGGGGGAAGTTCTGCCATGGATTTCATCATTATTTGAGCTCAACCAATGCAAGATTTCCATTACCAATTTCAATATTTCAGGATTTAGAAATCTGATAAAGATATATTGGCCAATTTTATTCTTTTTTTTTTATTATTATTTTTTCATCCTTTCCTGAAACAAGTAACACAGATTTTCCCAAACATTTATGTGTATTTATTTAAAAGTCCTCACCAAGATAACATAGCATAATGCAATTTAAAAGTTACCTTATTACTTTGAGCAAAAGTACAACAAACTATGTGAAGGTTTTGATAAGTAACAGTCCGTGTACGTTCCAAGCCTGTGTGTTGCTGACTGGGGAGTTGCAGTGTTACACACTATGCAGCTGCAGCCTCCAGAACATCACTGACGGATCCATTGTCTGTTTCTCAGTTTCCATCAGTTGCTATAAATGCAGATACCAGTTTATCTGAGGTTATCTCATATCGGCTTATAATATCAGGCTCTAATCCTTATCAGGTGTTGAGGAATCCTGTGCATCATGGAAACGGTAATATTGTGTAAAATGGCGACTCTCAGTCACCGGGGAGAGACCTAATACCTTTTAGCCATTTATCAGCACATGATGGAATTTTCTGGAACTGCCAGGTTAGAAACCCTGGTGTTTCACAGCTTAGTGCTGTTGTACTGGGGGCCACCATGACTGCAACCTGAACCCTGATTTTAAGTGCCAGAAGGTCTTTTCCTGGGTGCCATGTGATTTGTTTGCATCTACTGCCCCCCGGTGGCCATTCTGCTGCCCTACAGCTAAAGAAGAAAGGTGAGCGACTGGACAAGCTGCAGGATCAGCTGCAGGAGAAGAGCTCTGCCTACTCACAGGCAGCCGTGAAGATCGGCGACCTGGAGCAGGGCCTGCTGGTAAGTCCACATGTGATGCAAGGCACCCGGAGGCTTTAGCCAATCATACGCTCACAGTCTCAGCTGGACTTAGGTTAACTCTCCTTCTTAAGGCACCGTGACCGGTCTCAACCCGGCATCCAAGCAGCAGGCAGAATTACAGGCGGCAGGTTTCCAAAGGAAATGCTTTTGGTTCTGCTGTGTGGTGTAAAAGGTGGGGGATTGGTGCGATTGCTTGATTGATTAGTTAATTGAATCATTAGTCTGTCGGCTTTATGGGAGGCAAGTAAGTAGTAACAGTATGATCCCAGTCGGCTCAGTTCCCAGGAGATTTGAGGCAGTAAAAATCCAGACTCGTATATCCTTCCCTGCTCTGGGCTTCCAGGTCATGATTGTCCGATATCCAATCAGAGTTCACAGTGCAGTCATGTGATGTGAGTGGCATGTGCTTTCACAGTGTTAGCTTACCTGTAGTGTGGCCTGTTAATTACCAGTGTGGAAGTAGCTTTTTAAACTCTCATTAATGTCAGTCTTTAAGTCCTGGCCTGTATTTAAGGTAATTTAGGGATGATAATGCCTCTGCAGTACTATGCTAACTGCTAGCATGGGGCAGGTCATGGCGGCTTCGGGCTGTTTTCATGGCTGTGGTCAGGTGTCACATTACTCTCTTACTGTGTAGCTTGACTCTGGCCCTGACCCACCTCGCAGCCCCAAGCTAGGCTCCCGTGTGATCCAGGCCCACTGTGTTCTCAGGAGCAGACCAGCCGCGCTGAGCACCTCCGCTCCCTCCTGGCCAGGAAGCAGAGGGACTTCCAACAGGCCCTACAGAAGGCCGTCTCCCAGCAACGGAAGGACTTGGAGAGCCAGGTCGAGCTGGTGAGAGTGTGATCATATGTGTGTGTGTGTGTCTATGTGTGTGTGTGTGAGACATAGCCATGTTGTCTCCTCCCAGCTGCAGTTCTCTCTGGACCAGAAGCAGGCTGTCGTCCTGGAACTGGAGCGTACGGCGGCCAGTGCACGGCAGGAGAGGCGGGACGCTCAGCAGAGGGCCCAGGCCCTCCAGCTCTCCTTGGATCGGCTCTCCGAGGTCAGCCCATACATCCATCGGCTCCCAGTTTGATCTGCTCCAGGTCCAGGTCCTTGTGGAGGAAAGTCCTCTGGCCGCATCACCTGCTGTAACCTCATGGTGGTGCCCTTGACAGGAGAAGGAGCTGGCAGCCAGGCGCACCGAGGACACCCTGCGGGCCTTCAGAGAGCAGGCAGCCCAGTCCTGTGCCGAGGTCTGTGCCAGCAGTGGATCTGCCTCCACACCGCCATTCCCATGAGGGCCGCCGCACATGTGACCAGTCATGTCTAGAAGAATCACATAGATCAGTTTGTACATATTTTAGTAAAATATATAGTCGTCCCTCCGAATTTGCGAATTTGACATTTCTGTTATTTGTGACTTGTCCGTTAGCAATTAAATGGGGATATTTTTGGATGACGCATAAGCCAAAAGTATATAAAAATGGTGAATTGATCAGATGAAATGATTATTTAATATTTGTTAATGTACCTGCATACTTTGTTAGCTGTCTTTGAACCACCGAATCTCACGTTTCTCACGGTAAATTTTAAACTTTTCAGTGCTATTCATTCTGCACTTTTAATAACCTTTGGGGGTTTGAAGGGGTGACTGTGATCGTTTTAGCGGAACGTGGCTCTCAGCAGGGATGTGCTGAATCTGTCGCCGGTACCTGTCATCAGGTTAAGGGCCTGGAGGAGGCGCTGACGGTGTGTAAGCAGGAGCTGAGCACTTATGTGCGGCAGATGGAGGAAGCCAAGGAGCAGTTAGGGAAGCAGCTGGAGAAGAAGAATTCCGAGGTGGAGAGGAGAGGGGCGTGGGTCCCGCCTGGCCTGACTGTGTGCGCGTGTGTGTGGGTGTCTGTGTCCCCCTCCTTGGTGATTTCTTGTTTATTTGTTTTATTTCCCTGTGATGGTTCACTTTGATGCAGTGCATGTTTAGATGTAATTAAATGCAATCAGCCTGTGTACTTTTTGTGGAATTTACAATATGTCTTCATTTAAGTTGGTTTCCAGTAAAACTGCTACGGATATTGTGCAAAAAGTAATTATTTGATAATTGCTGGTGACGGTTTAACAGGAAGAGCTAGGAAACAGTATCAGATTTGTTTGCATTTGTAAGGTTTTACAGAGCAGTAAGCATTTAAGCTAAAGTTCTGCTTCAGCTATGTTGTTCAGGCTTCAGTGTACAGCAAGCCGTTCCATTTGGCAGGTGGACGCCCTGCGTGCTCAGCTGGAGGACAGTGCCCTGGCTTCCCGGAGCTCCAGTGAGCACAACGTGCAGCTCCAGTGCAGCCTACAGCGGCAGCAGGCCATGCTGCAGGAGAGCGCCGCCCGTGTGGCCGAGCTGGAGGAGTGTCAAGCCCAGCTGGAGATACAGGTAAACTGCTTAGTACGCACTATGTACATGTCGGCATTCTGAATTAATTAGTCATGTTTAATATAGCATACTAAACTCATTTGATTGTATGGGAAAGGTTAAAAGTGCACTCCTCTCCTGTGTCCGATTCGTTTGCTGCTACTCCGTTCCGTCTTCAGCCTCTTAATCTTATAGTAAAAGGAAAAAGTTTGATAGCTGAGCACGGAAACGCTTTCTTGATAAACAAACTGTCTTCTGACATCAGCCTCCACACGCTGGCCTTAGGGGGGTCCTCCTCTCAGACAGGCCTTACAGTTCCATGTAATAATGGTTAAACATCTCTAGGGTTCTTGTTGCTTGCGGTCTTGGAGATAAGCTTCCTTAAGTAGATAATTTCAAGTCCCAGTGGCTGTTCTGCTAAGTCATTCGGTACCTTAACCACCGCGTGGAACCCAGCAATAGGTTCGATGTTGGACTGAAGTTACTTGTGGCTTAAATCTGTCCTACCACCGCTGCTCCCTCATCCCACCGAACACCCCCAGGTAGGCAGACTGGAGCAGGAGTTGCTGAGAGAGCGGGCAGCTGGGGCCCAGCAGCTACAGAGAAGTGAGCAGATGGTGCAGGAGGCCACAGAGGAGGCTCTGAAGAAAGGACAGCAGGCTGCAGCCCTCTCCATCTCTGTCACGTAAGAGTAGAGCAGGTGTAGCCAATCTTATCCGCAAAAGGCCGGTGTGTGTTCAGGTTTTTGGGATAACCTGTAGGTCAGCTGTTCAAACCCAGGTGTGAGGACTCTTTCAGCCAATCAGTCCTCTAATTAGGGAGTTGCAGTGAAAACCCGCATATACTGCGGCCCTTTGCGGATAAGATTGGACAACCCTGGAGTAGAGCCTCACACCTCCGCACACCTTCTGGCTGCAGTGTGTGTCGGCCCATACCTGACACCCCCAGAGCAGAACTGCACCTACCAGCCAGGGAGCTGACGACCCCACCCAAAGCAAGAACCACCTTTTGGTACTATAGATCGGCTTTAGTCCAGAAGATGAACACCTTTGTGTTTTAATCGCGTTTGGATTAAAGCGGAATGTCAATCAACCGTGAAGACTAATGTAACTATGTACTGGTTTCAAATTATTTCCCTTTTCAGTTGTGACTTGCAAGATTCTGGTCACAACTGGGTCAAAGTCTCAAGTTACATGTACAAACAAACAAAATGTTCTACTCCTGGAGTCATCCTGCATCTCATGACCTTCATAAAAATCTGTGACACTCGGAACGCCTCGCTTGAAACCTTCTGTGTCACAGGGTGATTCAGGTCCTTGGTCCCATAATCTTAGGTGCTGGTAGTATCTGGTCTCTGTTTCTCCACATTTGCAGTTGTTTACCAGAAAGGATCCCAAATGAAGGATTACAATAAGGTGGATGAGGTCCATTTAAGGAAGATTAATTAAAGCTATTTCTCCCTTTAACGTCATTCTGACCTATTTTAATTTACCAGTCATCAGCGTGTAAAAGGGTCAGTTATTCCTTTCTGTACTTCTTGCCAAAGGGATATTCTCATCCTTTTTCAATAGATTTCTTGTTTGTTCCCAGTTACTGATGCCCAGGATTCAGCCCTGTGACATCGCTGCTTGTGCGTGGAATGTCACTTAACCGCAGACTGCCTGAGGAGGGTGTCCCATGACACTAATCTGACACACTCCACAAATGGTATTTTGGGTGTGCGTGAGTCTCAGGACCCCAATGACCCTGTACGAGTATATAAGCTCTCCTCGCTTCACATCTTGTCTGAGGCTAAAGCAGTTCAACTCCTCTGCTGTGCAGGACCGTGTCCTTAACTGATACTTAGGCACTTCAAGGCACCAGAGAGGTCAAATTCCCCAGCACAGACTGAGGTTCTGGAGCCAGTGTCACTAGGGAGTCCGAACGGGAGCTGCGTGAATCCGGACAATCCGCGTCGGTGTCATTAGAGCGGAGAGTCCGGTGTGTACCGGCTGAGCTTAGCACGTGTGCTTTTTGCAGGCAGCTGACCGCAGAGATGAGCTCGTGCCGCAATGGGCTGACCGATCTGGAGACGGAGCTTCTGCAGCTGCGCAGGGACAGTGGCATCAAGGCCTCCCAGCTCAACCAGATGGAGGAGACGCTGCAGGAGACCCAGGGCCAGCTGGAGAAGAAGTCTGAATTGGGTATAACTCTGGCGTGACCTCTGTCATTATTCTGAGCATTACAACTCCTACAGTCTTTCTTTGTTGTGGGAGACTTTGTGTGTATGTGTCTATGGGAATTTCTGATTTTAATGACTCCATAAATGCAGTATTTTGGTGGCAGTCTGTCTGTGTCCTGACGGAGTCATGTGCTGCCCTACAGTGGTGGATCTGGAGGAGAAGCTGCACCGCAGTGAGATGGACCGGCGCAACTCGCTGCAGCGCACGCAGCTTCTGGAGACGCAGCTACAGTCGGTGCGTGGGGAGCTGGCCGACACGCTGTGCCACCTGCAGGAGCTGCACACCGTGCTGCAGCGCACGCAGCTTGATGCCGAAGAGCGTGAGGCCGCCATGGAGAGGCTGGCTGCCGAGCTCAGGTGAGCGCCTCCTGCTGGACGCCTGGGCCCTCTGCCAGATCCTGAAATGGGTCGGCACGTGCCCGGACACCGCCCATCTGGAACGCTTCAGAGGACCATTTCAGGAAATGCTACTGTCGGTCTCCTGGTCAGAGTATCAATGCCTCATAACTCAATTTCCAACAAAGTGCTTTTCAGTTCCTGTTATTGTTCACCTTCTCGCTTCCTTATTTTTCTGACTGTGGGTGTGAGTATATGGTTGACAGTGGGTCACATGCTCATGTTTGGGGAACCAACCATCCTACGTCGTTCACATGTTCCCGACAAAGAGGTGGGTTCATGTTCATATTGTGAGAGACCTCAACTGTTAGCGAAATCATCACGCCCTTTTGCTTACTAGCAATTTCTAGAATGTTAACATATAATATGAAATGATAAAATTAATGCCGTTCTGGCTGTCAGGTTGGTATCAGTTCGGCAGTTGTCATATGATCCAATCCTATGGTCAATGTTGTTGTTTCTCCCTTCTGCCCTCTACCCTGCCGAACACCCCCCCCCCCCGGCCCTCCAGAGCACCCCAGCCTCCCCTCTTCTAAAACTGATTGTTAAACAAACAAATCCTAGGAAACACACATTGACCCCCCCATACTGCAGTCCTCCAGTGTAACTGTCCCGATCCAATCCATTCAGTATTTATACTTGTCTTTTAATAAATATTTAAATATGCCTAAACGTATGCAGGTGTTGCTGCATTCATCCTCTGAGTAAGTCTCACGACGTTGCAGTATTCTTATGTATCTGTAAGCGCCTCATTAAGTTAGTTTGAATAATGCTCTGTTGCTACCTCGCCTCAAAAGGACATCATTATGAACACCGAAGGTGGCTGTTGGGCTACTTGGAGTTTCCAAATTAAAGGATTTCCACACGGCCGACATCTCGATAGTTTGTAGTTTCAAGCCGTGTGCCTTAGGCTTAAAGCAGCGTGTGCCCAGAACCCTACAGGCTGTGCATATGACGCAGATTAGGCGGACGTAGGAAATGAAATCAAACGCGCTTTGGATTGGGCTGTGGTAGCCGATACCCATAAAAAATGCCTGGATCGGCCCCAGTTCCAATCTCTGATATTGGCTCGGTACATCGCTGACGTAATGTGCTTGGGTTAAAAAAGCACATTTAAAGAGTGATTTCAGTCCTCGTACGAGGAAAGTACAGACACACCATTCAGTGTTTCATGATCATACATCATGAAAAGAAAACATCAGTCACATATCTTTTATATCTTTTATTACAGTTTGCTGGTAGTGCTCAGTTATTTCAAAAGAACAAACCTTCCTTTATTTGTCTTTAATCATCAGTCTGTTTACTATTAGTCCTTTCTTCCATAGCAGGCTTGAATCCAAGGTTTTAAATAAAGTAACGTTGCGTCCTTATCGCTCAGCACGCCCGGTTTGGAAATTTGTTTACTCTGTTTTTGGTTATTGCCAGAACGGCTGCTTTCGGATTTCCCCGTTAGCTTCAGGCCTCCTCGATGCTCTGGGTCATGTGACCTGAGGTGACGGCTCATTGGCCGGCCGCATGAAGCAGGATAAAGCCATCGTCTGTCTGTTGTTTGAAAACACTGAGATCGTGATAAGGGTAGCTTCCGTGAATCTGTCATGGACCGTGTTGGGGAACGCCCTTAGGTATTTCTGGAAATATTTCTCTAGAATTCTCTTGAGAAGCAACACAAAGTCCTGTAGTCTTTCAGTGGGGTTATTGTTGGTAAAACATAATGACACGGCTCCTTCAGTCACTGACATGAATGTCAGCCTATCCCTAACTCCCCGTGCTGGTGCCTGGTGCTGATGAGCTCATCTGATATTCAGGTTGCAGGACCATCCTCATAGTATGGGCCTGGAGGAGGTACTGTGCAGTATCTGTGCATTGACCATTAAAAACGGTCAAAAAAATGACCGTAGAAACTCTTCTGTTCTTTCTGAAGGAGCTTTTCTGTTTTTTGGCCTTCAGCGGTTGAGCGATATGTTCCAGGCTCCTCCAATATGTTGTGACACTCTTGAATCCTCCTCCACTGTGGATGGTTCCGGTTCTGACCTGCTCAACATGTGTCCTCCTGCAGGGAGAGTCGGAAGGAGCTGGCGGAGCGGAGCCACGAGGTCCTGGACATGGACGTGGCGCTGAAGGAGAGGCAGGGGGAGCTGAAGCAGAGGGCGGTGCAGGTGTGGCATTGGGGTGCTGGGTAGCCGTGCACACGTGCAAACACGCCCACGTGAACACACACCCTCTCCTCTCACCTCCTCAGCTCAGCCAGCTCGACGTGGCCATTCGAGACCACAGGCTTGACATGGAGAAAAAGGTCCTTCACCTGCAGGGGGCGCTAGAGAAATCACAGAAGGAGGTCATGGAGCGTGAAAAGCAGGTGCGATGACCAATGTTATCTGCATTACTTTTTTCTTATTAAAGATGTTACAATCAGACAAATGACTGACTGTGGATGGCGGTGTGACACGTTTCTGAGTCACTGGCTTCATTTAGGAAGCTGATTCTGGTGTAAGTTTCTGTGGTACCCAAGCCGGAATTAAACGGCTTCAAAAGGAGAAGTTACTTCAGTATCAGTGGGGAAAACAGCTCCATGAGAACGTGTGAGTGTGAACCATTGCTGATGTGATTTTCAAACCAGATACCCTTGCAGAGAAAGCTCACATTTCCCTTAAAATCCTCCCTCAGTACACCAGTTATGATAATAGTTTTGAAAAGGCTGCAAGATGCAAGCCTCTCTCTACAGGCAGCAGCTAAATGTCCTGTAATCTTGTTTCTCTGAGATAAGAAAGATTGTCTGTTTCTAGGGAAATATCTCCCAAAGTGCAGTTCATTTTCATTGTCTTATTGGTATCGCTACGTTTACATGGCACGTTTTATTCTTTAGATTTTTGTTAGAAAATAATTACCCTGTTTGCTGCCACTTTTGAATACCATCCATGGACATCTATTAAAATTAAGTCAGTCATGTGATCAGAGCTAACCTGGGGGGTCGTCCCCTCATGCACGCGTCTCTCTCAGGTGGAGTTCCTCAGCAGGCGGCTAGAGCTTGTGCACAAACAGCTGCAGGACAAAGAGGACCTGGAGAAGGTACTGAGTGTCTATCTGAAGCGCAGCCTTACCTTCATCCTGCTTCTGCACTGGAGCGGCCTTATTAGGGGAAGCGCCAGGCAGAAGGCGTGGGCCGTGGGTGTTTTACTTCAGTCTGCCCTGTGCATTAAAGGCGAAATCCCAATGCACTTATTTATCTGAGCCGTTAGCAGTGTGAGCGGTTAGACATCACAAGGGGGACGTGTCAATCACTGTAGACTTAACTGGTGAAATCAGCCTACAGGTGGCACCATTTCCCAAGTCAGATTTTAAGGCTAACGCTGTAGTCTCTGTCTGTCCCAATAGCACCTACCTGGGGCACTTTGACCAAGTGAAACAGGACTTTGAGGCATAGGGCCTGCTCACAGGGATGGACGATGTTACAGGAGCTGCAGGAGGCGCGGAGCCACTGTGAGGGCCTGGAGAGGAGGCTGCAGGAGGCGCAGAGCCACTGTGAGGGCCTGGAGAGGAGGCTGCAGGAGGCGCAGAGCCACTGTGAGGGCCTGGAGAGGAGGCTGCAGGAGGCGCGGAGCCACTGTGAGGGCCTGGAGAGGGAGGTGGAAGACAGCGTCACCCTCGTGCAACAGAAGGTACAGCTTGGCACCAAGTCGCTAAAGCCAGAATGGACAGGGGCTGGGGGGGATGGGAGGTGCTGGCCTTCAGGGGCCGTGGGGTGAATTAATTAATAATGGGCTGCAGTGTAGTTCAGTGGCAGGGTGTTCACTTCAGCTGTGTCTCATGCCATTATGAACGCATCGGTAGCCAGTTCCCCTCCAGTGATTTTGAAAAGAACAGAAAATTGTTCATCAGCAGTCTGGTAATGTTTGGCTGTCAGCAGTGGGTGTGGCACGTTGGTTTAGGTGGAGCACCAGAATGGTGTGGGGTCTCGGCTCACTAGGACGTGACCTTTCGACCCCCCACAGCGTGTTCATGATCAAGGGGGGTATGGGTCGGTGGTCTGTGTCCAGGAGGCTGTGAGTTCAGATCCTACGGCAGGTAAACATCACTGTTGGGCCCTTGGGAAAAGCCCTTAAGCCCAGTTGCTCCAGGGACTGGTCACATTGGACGAATGAATCTGTTAAATAAATACGAAGATAAACAGGTTAAGCAGTAGCATTTCAGTTCTGCAGTAACTCGTGAGAGGCAGGAGACACGTGGCAGTGACTACCGGCTGCCCCCAGTATTTGTTTTCAGGGTGGAGCACTGCTGAGACTCACCTGTGAAGGTCACCTGTGAAGGTCACACTCTGTGTCAAAGAGTGTGTGTCCCAGCAGGAGTATTTGGTCAGACATGGGGGGAGTATTTGGTCAGACATGGGGGGAGTATTTGGTCAGACATGGGGGGCAAAGCTAACATGAGCTTGAAAGGGAGTCTATTGTCTGAAGCTCTGATCAGTACCAGATGTTCCAGCACACCAGGGTGGAAAGTACAGGCAGGATTTTATGGCTGGAAAAGTTACTAAAAGCAATCCCCCTCTCTGAGCTTGATGTCAGATTAAATGAAAGTGAGGTGTTTGCGGAAGGCACAATCAGGGAGCCACCTGACCCGGCTGCCAGCCCTGTCCCCTCGGTGAAGGTGAGGCTCTGCCCCTACAGTGGGAGCAGGTTCGGGGGTCCCGTGTGACGTGTCTCTGTTTGCGGGGGCAGGATGTTCAGGCCCGGCAGCTGGGCCAGGACCTGGCAGCATCGCAGGCCCGCGCTTCAGAGCTGGAGACCCAGCTGGGGGGCGCCGTCACGCGCCTGGAGAGGGAGCTGGAGATGCAGCGGGAGGAGCATCGCACAGAGGTACGGGGCTGGGGGGCATGCACGGGGTACAGTGTTTTTGTTTACCTGATTGGTTGCCTGGCAATGAACCGCCCCGGCACAACAACGACGTCGGCCAATGAAATGGTTGTTTACGTGGGATGTGTGGGAGGTTTTACGGTGCGGGCTCAGGGGGCGGGGTCCTTCAGCGGCCGGGTACGCGTCAGGAGCAGCATCTGAGCACCATAATGAGTAATCGGAGCAGCCTGCTGCAGCGTTTAAACATGGCAGAGTTTGCACCACAAAGAGCCCCATGGGAAGACGAACTAGGGACCGGGGCTGGGAACCGGGCCCAGGGACTAGGACAGAACTCCCCTGGTAGCTCCTAGGAGGGAATCCGCTCTCCTTCCTCCTAGGCAGCCTCCTTGCATGTTTAGTCCTCCACATGCCCAGGCAGCAGAGAAATGCTGCTGGTGTCTTTCTGTGGACGAGTCGCTTGAGTTAATGCCAGACCATGAAGATCGTGGCTTTTGAATTCCTCTCTCTAACCGTGACGTGCCAGCATCCGCCCGTACAAAACTATCACCCCATAACCCATAATCCTCTGCGTGCCAGGTTCCCGCTCCCCACTGGTGATGGGTGTGTATGTGCCTCATTGGGCGGTTCCTCCCAGTCCCCAAGCACTCCCCCGCTAACGGCCGCCATAATCAGCCTACTGTTTTTCCACAGTATGCTGTTTACATGCACATTTCTAAACTTAGATAATGTGCAGTCACACCCAAAGCACAGGTCTAGGCTAAAGGTACACTGTATAAAGCTCATTTGTTTTTGTTTGCTTGCTTGTTTGTTTGTTTGCTTGTTTATTTTCTTGTGCATCTAAACTGTCGTCCTATGTTAGGCCAAGTCTCAGACAAGCACTATGTGATTTCAGTGTTTGCCTCCATATTTTGAAATAACAAAGTTTGATTTGATTTTACGAAGTTGAAAGAGTACAAACAAATGAGTCTTTCCATTTGTTTTTGTATGGAACACTCTTTCCCATATGTCTGTCACCAGTCATGCTGGTTTGTTTGGATTCTGAAGACCTTCCGCAGAATGACTCATGATAAAATGGCTGTTCTGTCTGTGCGCCCACCTTCAGCTTTCTTCCGTGGACCTGAGTCGCACGCAGCTCCTGAAGGTGTCGGAGCACATCTCCAGCAGCCTGCGCCTGTCCCAGGAGCAGCTGGTGCAAAGGCTGCAGCAGGTCACCTCCTGCCTGGAGGAGGCCCAGGGAGCGCAGTCCAACCTGCAGGCCGAGCTACAGGCTCGCGAGGATCTCCTCCGGTGCACCAATGAGGCCCTGCTCGTCAAGGTGTGCCTCATTCGTCCATCCATCCACAGCCCTGTCTATGTGGCATCACGCTGCCCCCCTAATCGAGGTCTTCTATGAATCCAACACTCTAGTTAAAGTTCTTCCAAGATGAGGCATCAAGTGGGAACCCCTAGCTTGACAGATGAACATGGTTCCCTGTTTGTTGTTTTGTGGGTCCTAGCAAACACAAATATACCTGAGGATGGGACCTCCACGATGAGATGTTCTCACTGTCATGGCCTTAGTCCGTTGCTTGTGATGTTCAGTGGATTGACCCCATATGCCGTTCCTAGGAGTCGGAGGTCACGCGGCTGCAGGCCAGGCTCTCCAGCTACGAGAGAACGGCCGAGCTGAAGAGCGCTTCCCTGCTCTGTGACTCTGTGCTTCAGCTGCCGTCGTCCAATGGCCACAAGGAGGCGCCATGTCCTGGGTCCTGGGAGGACAGTGACTCCCCGGGCCTGCCGGAGAGCCTGAGGGCAGCGCTGCGCGGCACGTTGGAGCCCCTGGAGCAGAGCTGGCGGGGTCTGAGCCAGCGAGAGTCCTCCTGCTCAGAGCTCTCCTTCAACCCGCTGACCTACATGGCTGAGGAGAACGAGGACGGCGCCATTGATGTCTCTGGGCCGGGGTCTCCAGCAGAGCCCAACATGGACACCTTCACCGGCATGCTGAAGCTCATCAGCAGGCAGCTGGCCTTGCAGGGCGAATCTGACCCCATCGTGGCTGGTATGACCAGGAATCCATAGGGTTCTGGCAAGCAGGAGCTATTCTCACTGGCCTGTTGACCCCAGTGTCCTTCCTGGGACTTTGTGTGTCGCTGTCCCATTGAAAGACTGACTTACAGGCTGCCAAAGAGATGTCCCTTACTGTCTGATGAGGTGTCATCTGAAGACCTGCTTTGGTCACATGAGGAGAGGGCTGTCACTAGAGATTTTCGGCCCCTAACCCAGGCAAATCCAATTATGTTCCAAATATTTTAGGGCCCCTGTCACTCAGGGGCCTTTGTTAATTCTTTCTTTTATGGGGCCCCTGGATGAGTGTCATGCTGAATGTTTGTCATCGCACACCTGACACCTGTTCGTCATCGTACACCTCACAAGGGAGTGACACAGTTGGTTCAAGCATCACAAATAGTAATAGGACGTAATCAGATAGACACCTGTTTCACTGTTAATGGCATTGCAGCAGTTCCTTCTGTGTGTTTAACGAACTCACCGGTTGTGATCTGCAGATGCCCCACCCAAGGCATGAAGACGACCAGCGGGATGAGGCTTATGAGAGAACGGCAGCATGTCCTCGGATGCAAGAGCGTCTTCTGAGGCCGGGCAGCTGGGATCCGTCTGCGATGGACAATCGTGCCGTTGCCTGTTGGCCCACAATGACTCTTTACCTGCTCTCAAATCAGTGCTGCTCAGGGATTAACGTTGTATCTAGAATTGCAAAATGTCTCCGTCTGCTTAAGCTTTGGAAGTCGTTTTCTCTTGAAGGGAAATTAGCTCATGGTTTCGACCCGCAAATTTAATTTATGTTATACCTGCTGAGCCGATGATGTTAATTCAGGGCTGTTTACTGTGGGGTTGTGGGTTTGTGAACCTGACGTGTGCTGAAGCGTAATGCATGTGTAAGTCAGTGTGCCTTGGCTAAGATTAGCACAGCTGCTGTTCCAGTAACATGACCATGGTTGCTGATTAGCTAAGATTAGCATGATAGCAGACATTTTTCAGCTCCTAGCAAGAGGAGTGTAAATTTACTCTGTTCACTTCTATGCTTTTGTTTTACATTGTGTATATGTATATATTTAGATGTTTAATATACCTAATTAAATGATTTATTTGGTTTTTTAGGTTTTTGTGATGTTTCCCCTGAATCTCAGACCACATGGTATATCATGGCACACAGAGGAAGACCACACCATGAAACGTATCCCCCTCTGAACATAAACGTACTCTCATCGAAGCTCTTCTCTCAGCTTCATATTTCTAGTGAGCCCCGCACACCAAGGCCGCTGCCCGCCGCCCCTCGCTTGTGAATCAGAACAGGAAGTGTGGCATTTAGCGCTTCGTTTCATACAGACCTCCGGAAATTACAGCTGAAATTCAATGCAGAGCCTCGCAGCTGGTCCTCCCACTCCTGGGCAGCGGCTTTAGCCTGAAGCGGCCTCCCCAATGTCCACGTTCCAGGTGACTTCCTGGTGCTCCAGAGATTGTGTCCTCATGGGATACTTTCATACCCCCCCCCCCTTCTGGAGGTGTGCTCTCCCCATCCACACCTCGTGGACAGAGCCTCCCGGGGCCGCGACTCTGGGACCGTCATCCGTGTCGAATGTGGCCCTTTCTCTTCCTGCTGCTGTCCCTGCCGGAGAATGTTGTCTTGAGTAAACACATTTCTGTTTGAAATAATGTCATTTATGTATTTCATAGGAAACTGCCACTAACTAAAACTGGGGTTTTCCATCTTGCAGATGAATGGCGTGACTGTTATCAGCTTGTGACTCAGAGGTGTAACGTTCCCACAGTTGGTTAACAGTAATTCTAGCGACTAGGAATCCATTTTGACACTTTTAGATGATTCATTGTGGTGCTGATAGAGGCCTGCTGAAGTGTTTATGTTTATCTTCGTCTGAATCCCTGTATTTTGGGGAAGACTCAACATTTTCTCTCACATTGATGGTGTCACGGTGATCACCGGAGCTTGGTGCATGTGAGTCTTTATATAAGGAAAGGCCCGGTGAAGCCATTCTGCTCTGTCGGGGGTCGCGAGCGGCCGTGTGTGTCTCATCATGTGTTTATATGTGCGTGACCGTGCATATTTTCTGTGTGTGAATTAAATGTATGTATCATGCGAGTGTGATTTTGCCTGTATCTGCATGCGTCTGTTCATAACAGTGAGGGATTGTGTGTGTGTTTCACTCACGTTCGTGTACCTGAAGGCAAATATTTCTTTTCAGAGTTCTGGCTTCACTGGCTTCACTGGGCCAGCTCGCATTTGGTCTGCTCACCTTGCAGTCCAGCTGAGATCCGCAAGCCCTCGCGATTGCAGTCTGCCTCTCTTGGTCCTGCCCTGGTTTCCCTCCTGTCACGTGACGTACCTGCTGCTGTTCGCGTGCAACGCGAACCCACTGAAACTCTTGTAGCTTGTGTAGAAATGGCTTCCAGGCCTCTTTCAGGGCTTGACGGGTAACGTGGGTAGGTCTGTCGCCTCACATCGTTGCCGGCGGTGGCCATGTACCAGCCCGGAAGTGGCTTTGTGGCTCACCGTACGGCTCTGAAAACCGGCTTCGTGTCTTTGTGCCCAAAGAAAAAGGAGAGTGACACTGAAATGTTTTTATTGCCAGCTCGATTTATGAGGCGGGCTGCTGTTGACACCAGCTGGGAAGGTCCCAACTAAACTGGGAATCCCTGTTTTGTTTTGGCTCGTAAAATTGTCACAGGATCTCGGCCTTATTAGCCGATAAACGCAAGTGGGGCATAGATCGGTGTGGTGTTGCTCGTGATAAGGAGGTCAGGGCTCTGTAGCACAGTGCAAGGGCGTCGTAAGCCTTTTCACAACCTGACAAGTTGCCATGGTGATTGTTTCCATAGTGATTTAGTGTGCCAGGCTGTCATCTTTAAGTACAGCGATGCCGAGTCTAGAGAAATAGGGCCGGACTCTGATTTCATAATTTTTATTTTTTATTTTTGCATAAACCTGACCGTTATTCAGCTGTGACTTTCAGACCAGTTAAGTCAGCCGACTGGGTCAGGATGAAAACCTGAAGCCTGGAACTCATGAATTTTGGTTTCATACCCCCTGTATTGAAATTGGATGAGAGAGGGATATAGGACTCTCAAAGGAACAAACAGGCACGCTTAGGTTCACTCAAAAACACTTTAATACAAGTAAACAAGATAACTTTGCATTAAAATCAATATCAATATGTCAAACGCAATGCAAAATACCCTTGTACCACAAGGGATATAGAATAGTATATATCATACAAACTAAGGTATATAGAAAAGAAATAATAAAATATAGACCATGCAAATTATTATCATGATCGGTGATAATTAATCCCCATTAATCAATTAAACGCATAAGCAGCTGCAAAACTATTTACACTCGGACGTGCCATAATCACCCACCTTCACACACGGACTGGGGAGCCCTTTCAGTCCTGGCAGGAGACCAACACGTGAGTCCCGAGAAAGTGCCGGGCGATGCGCGCTCTATCCCACGGCTGAGCTCCGGTCAGTACTGGGATCTCCCCCTTCCTTTATACTAAATTTAGAGTTGCGTGCGGGCAGGGGGTAAGCTGGCCAGGCTCACCCCTTCCCCCCCCAGGCAATATGTTATTAAATTCCCCTTTTGTCCGAGTGATGCTGCTTGCGATAATATAGTAAGATTGGCGTTCTTGCACCAGATGTCCTTAATTGCACCATGCCTCCCTACCCCCCTAAAGGCAATGGGTGCTATATACTGACCCTCCCCGAAACCAAGATAAGCATCCTGCATGCCGATCTATCGGCCCAGATTTGCATCCTGGCTTCTTTTTATGAGCCTAAGTTATTTATGGTGAAATAGGGTTTTTTACAGGTAATCGGTAAATAACATGTTCGTGCAGTTTAGTAACATTCGGGGTGAATCATGGACGATTGATCTGAATTTCAGGATGATCAGTCCACATGCGATCAGAATTTATCCACAATTACAACTTCCCAGAATATTATAGTAAAAGGATTAATTCCATGCCACGTAATTGTCCGTGAATTCATCCTAATACACCCCCTGTCACCGAAGTGTCCCATCTGTGCCGCCATTTTTTTTGCAGGGCGCTTTGGCCCTGTGCTCTTGGTATGTTCGGGATCCGCTGGTGTGTCTACAGAAGCCAATCAACCACTGGGAGCGATGGAGCTGCTGTCGACGGGGACGAGCAAGGCAACGTGCGGAGCAGAAATTTGTTGTACCCCTTATCATAAAGGTGAGAGGACAGAGCCAGCTTCAGGCCTCAGATTAAGGTTTTCTTGTTTGCAGTGTTCATATTTAGCCTCACGGGGCATTTGTTCAGAGTGTTTAGGCTATACACCAGCTGCTCTACCCGCCCTGCCCTAAAGTGGAGTGTTGACATTTCAGAGTCCTGGTTGGGAAGATAAATTTTTAAACAGCTTGTGTACAAACCAGTTCGCAGGGGATTGACAAACCTGGAACTTACCACACGCCGGGCTACTGTGTCCTACTTAAAGTCCTAGTCTACTGTGGCAGCTACCTGCCCTGCACAGGGTTTTTTAAGTGGCTGGTAAGAGTGGCATTTAGAAAATTAGAAAAAGAAGCCAGTGACCATCAGACAGCAGATGGCTACATCCTTCACCGGGCAGGAGCCTTCAGAGATCTGAGGGGGGGGTCCCTTCACTGATTAGCTGGGATCCATCTCCATCCAAACTGAAAGTAAACGCATTAAACACAGAATACTAATTTAACTAATCATCTTCTCTATTTCTCTCTCTTTAACTCTCCTCACTCAATAGATGAGCATTTATTGACCCTGTAATAAGACAGAATTTGTACAATGTAAGCAATTTACAATATGCAAATATACTTGGATTAAAACACACCCAGAAGAGCGTAAATTTAGCCCAGATGTCTCCTTCAATGGGCGTTTTCGTTCTAGAAAAGGTCGTTTTGAAAACAGCGGGAGAAGCCTCTGAAAGTGACTTTTAATTAAGGTTTGGATTTTTGAGGCACAAGACCATAAGGTGTAATTAGTCTTGTTTGATACGGGGGGGGGTGGTCAGCTTGTGGGTGGTGTAAGCGTACTGCGAGCAACGTGCAGATGACTGAGCTGGAGGACAGGCGTGCATCCCACTCGCAAATCACATGCGGCAGCTAGAAGGGTCACCCCAGCAACCGCAGGTCCGTATTTATCACGGACTTCTAATTTCGATGACAAATGATCTGACCTTAGTTTGTATTTTTTGCAACTTCCCTTATTAGAGACATTTTTAGAAATTTCTTGCATATTTATATTCTGTTTGTTAATGTTTCTTTGCACTACAGCAGATTTGAAGTTTCATCTCTGTGCATGAGCTGTTTTATATAGTGGAAGATACTCAAAAAAGACCTCAGTGTGTTAAAGAAAAAGTGAAACAGCCAAACTGTGTTTTTTAACACATGTACTGTTGAGTGCAGTGCAGTGTAATTGTGTAAAATTTTCCACAAATATATCAGTATAAATGTTCAAACTACACTCATTTCTTGGCCAAAACTCGAAACACATCTGTGAAAATGCCATTGGTAGCATATTTAGTTTCTGTGGAAGCAAATCGACTGTCTAAGGCACAGGTGTCAGACTCCGGTCCCGGGGGGCCAGAGCCCTGCACATTTTTTGGTTTCCCCTTGTTTAACACACCTGATTCTACTCCTTATGCTAATTACCACATATCTGTTGAGCTGAATCATTTGTGGTGGAACAGGGAAAGAACTAAGCTACACAGGGCTGTGGCCCTGCAGCACTGCAGTTTGACACCCCTGCTCTAAAGGGAGAAACACTTCTGTTTCTCAGACAATTATCAAAGGAGAAGCTATTTGGCTCCGGTTCAAGGGTGGCGGTTCGTTGCATCCACTTAGCACATTAAGCTGGATGCTTCTCGTTGCTGAAATACTGCATTGAAGAACATTACAGCCCACCAGCCTAAAGCATGAAGCAAGGTCACCTGCAGCCGTTTTGTGCCCTTGGTTATACATTTTTTTTTGTATTGGCAAACCAGTTCTTATTTATTGAGTTGGCATATTTTAACATCAATGTTTCCTCTTGATTAAAAGTTTTCCAAGTGGTAGCCAGAGTGCCCCCACCCTCCTTTTGGCTCTGGACAAGGGCTTGTTTTCTCCTGTTAAATTAGCGTCCCTTCCTGTTGTGGGAACAGTTTCGCGTTTTCAGCTCCAGTTCTCTCCCACAAATTAGTTCCAATTCTCATCAGATCAGGTTCTGTCATCCGCATCATGTGACACGCCCCTTTCCTGCAGGGGTTTTGGCACAGAGTAGCCAAGTTGTGTACCTCCCTGTGTGGCAGGCAAAGTCAGGTAAGGTGAGGGCGGAGGCTTTGTCAAACCAGCACACCAGGATGCCTCTGATGGAGAAACTTTCTCCCCGTGCCATTTCACTGCTAGTTACATTTATCACTAGGAAATGAGAATCAGGCTGCAGTGTTTTTTCCAATGGTGGCTGATTATTAAGAGTGTTTCCATCCGATCAGTCCATTCATTTTCCAAAACCCAATGCAGGGTTAAGCAGGAGGCCTGCGTGTTGTCATGACTACGCTCAGCTGTCTTTCTCAACCTCAAGGATGAAGATCTTAAAGCAGTGTCTTACCAGCCCAATTATCTCTAAAGCCAACCACCACTACTTTATTCTTTTTAACTACAGTTGGTTGCATTTTTTAATTTGTCCTATATTGTAGGTTGTCCTCTCTGGAGGCTGAGCCAAAGAGCAGTTTACAATAACTCTTAGGTGGAGTGATTTGTGTCTTTGTCTTAATATGGTAAAAATACAATGCATGGTGGGCGTGGATGTGAAATCCTGTCTGCAAACTAGTTCCCTCCCTCTGTCAACAAGTAGGATCTGCTGTTATGTCAGTGGCTGTTTCATATAATCCTCAGTGAGGGAGGGACCTGGAATCCTTTTTGGCTCTGCCGAGTATAATAAGCAAGCAGTCACTTCTCATTATCATAATCACGTCTGTGGCAAACGCACACCCCCCCCTCTAAGCTGGGGGGGGGGGGCTCTTACCCCCGTCTGTTTGCCAGGAGAACCAGATGCTTGGGATTCCTTACTTTGAGGTCCTGTCCTTCCACAAGTGCCATTTTTTTTGTATGTTTATCCATTTTTGTGCAAAGTCGGTGCTGGACAGTTGCTGGAACAATAGCCCAAGGGTGAGATCATGCCACTAACCCTGGGATTTGAAGTGGTAACTTAGGCAGGTGCAGCTTCCTGAACTGCTGAGCCGCACACCAGTCCTGCATGGTAGCATTGATCAGGCTCCGTTTCTTTGTGGTGCCCCAGACCTTCTCGAAAAACTGCAAGTACTTTGGCCTCTCATTGGCTCCACTGTCACTCCAGTACCACTGGTGTTTGCTTTTTCTGGAAGGCAGGCGTGGGATGGCTGCTCTGAGTAGGCCCCATCTACCCATCTGTAAACACCACAGTAAGTTCCCATCTTCTAAAAACAAAAGCTATTTTGGTGCCAAAATAGTGGCTGAAACGAAGCATCATACTGAAATGAGTAATTAAATGGGAAGTTGTTTGGTATGTCCATAATAGATCCTCTCACTCATTTGGAATTAGCCCAGAAGTAATTAAAATCCTTTTCCTGGTCTGTCTCCTTTTTAGTTTATCGTAGTTTTCGTTTTCTTATTTCTGATTATTTGTTGAATATTTTGTGGGTATGCGACGCCCTCTTTGGACTAAACTTCGGCTAGATATTTTTAGATTATTAAAATTATTTCTTGTGCGTTTCTATTTCAGGACCGTAGCCAGAAAAAAAAATTGTCGTGGCGTGTCTGGCAACCTTACCGATCGGCCCACCTCCTCGGTATATTTGCCCGGGGGGGTGGCTTGTTCAAACTCGTTATTATTTTACTATGTGCTTACCTAAAGATGCGCGTCCACAAGGGACCCGCCCGCCTCTGCGCCCCGGGCCGCTTTGCCTGTTCTGTCGCTACTCATCTGGTTATATGTGCCGCTGCTATGAAGAAACTGATTTGTGCCGCAATGTCTTCGTCTCCCCGCCCCCATGCTGCTTTCAGCAAGTACGTACAACATATTTCACGTTAAACATGACACTTCGGGGGACATGTACAGTATGGTTTATAAACGGATGCTGTTAATTTTATATTCATAGAATTTCCTAAAACACTGATTCTATCTCTTAACTCTTAACAGCTTTTATCGCTGTGAATCACGCTACAGCTCGGTGGTTTTGTTTTCCTGCTGATGCGTTCAACCAACGCAAACCTTACATTCATGCAGATTAGATTACAGTTTTATTTATTTTTTAATAAATAATATCTCTCCCCAGGTCACCACGGCACAACTCCTCGGGGCATTTGGCGCAGCGGACTTGCAGTTACCGCGCTGTACGCCGAAAGGCATGAAATAATATTGATATTCCGGCCGCTTAGCCAATCAGACGCTCCTCCGCGAGCTATTTAACTGGCAGTGCGCTTTCCAGCGTGACCACCCCCACATCTGTCTTCCATCTGCACTGGCCGCCTCCTGCTCGCTCATTCTTCAAAACTCCAACTGCAAATCCCGTAAATATGAGTTACTATTTCATAGAGAATCATATTTAGTTCTTTATGTGTTACTGCCGTTGTTGCGTGTTCATGTATGCATTTGCCCCGGTGTAATTTATATATTCGTGTTGCTGTTACCGTGGTTTCAAAGTATACCTATTAAATATGTTTTATGTTTGTTAAAATTGTGGCTAAATATCGTTTTCTAAATCCTTTTTTAAAAAAAAATTTAAAAAAATTTGCAATCATTGTAACAGAGTTGCGGAACTAATGATGGAGGTCGTCTTTCTTTCTGCGGAGAAGCTGCAGACTCGAATCCAGATGTACATTCGATTTCTTACAAAGGTCCCATAATCGCGGTGGTGAATCTAACGGCAATCTTACCCCAGTAATATGGTTTGATGCGCACAGGGGTGCACGAGTCCGTTTTGTGCAGTGGGATTTAAGTCCAGGTTTTGTCGGGAACTTAGGCTTCTTTTGCGCGATGTAAATGGAGGGGCGCTACTGTACTAAACTAGGACAAAAGTGGACCGAGGGTTTAGAAATATTTTTGTTGAACTTTTTTTTTTTTTTTGTCGGGTCTGAATATGCAAGTTCACGCACGAATAATCCACTCCGACTGCGCAGAAATTGTGCTGTTAATTAAAACTGTTTGTTTTGCATATGAAGAGGAAAGTACATTTAAAAGATATCGTTTCACTTTTGCAGCTAACGTACACCATACATTTTTCAGTCATTAATTTTAATAAAGTTAGTAATTCATGTATGCCTGAATGTGCCACATATTTTGCCGTTGTTTATCGCTGCTTGTTACTTGTAAAAATGTTGTAGTTATGGTTATGAAAACGTTTTTTGCTACCTTTGCTGTATTTGTGTTTTGTAACGAGATGTCATAACACTGGCATAGCACCAATGATGTGCATACATTATAAAATGCTATAAGGCTCGCTGGAGAGTCGCGCTGCCAGTGGGCCTTGCAGTATCTTAGGTTATTGCGCTAAGCTCGGCACTGTTCACATTAAAGGAAGGAAATGGGCTGCTCTCTGCGTTTCTAAATGGATAAAAAAAACGACGCACTTAAGATGCATTTGGCCAGACATTAAAGCGAAGTACAAACAGACCGCAAGCAAGCCAAACAGCAGTAGCTTGTTGGTGTTCTCTCTTTCTGTTCTTTAATTGGTCATTTGAACGTATCGTTTAATTATTCAAGGGGAAAAAACAACTGCGTATTATAAGAGCGAATGGAGAATGAGAAAAGATGCGTATGTAGCTAAATAATATAAATGATTTCTGTTATCGGAGTAAGCAACATAGGTGGTCGCTCATGGGGGTCAACCTCATTCATTACTCCCATCAATGCACAATGTGCGTGTGATCGACGGGGGTACGGTTGTACGCGACACTTCTGCAGTCGGTAAACAGGCTACAGTCATAAAACGCCTGGCTTTTGTTCATGTTCCTGACCACTAACAGATCAAGGTTATATAGGCCTACCTGAGCTTCGGGGAGAACGGGATTGTTCACCTGTTCACGAGTCAATAATATCACACCCGATCCTTCGCAAACAGGAACCAGCTCCTTAATGATTGTATGTGGAGTATAATTTTGCACTTCCTAGTTAGGTTTTAATAAAAAACAGGACGGGACATGGCGGCGGATTGCAGAATGCGATCCTCTTCGGGTTTGTTCGATTGTTCCAGGATCTCTAATGCTTTTTCCTCCCGTTCTTGTGTTGCTCAAATTTCATATCCTGACTGAAATATTGACGTCTCGCGCTGTTTTGCAAAGTGGCTGTAAAACTTAAAATCAGGGTGAATATTTTCGTCTAAAATAACCCATAATGTTTCATAACTGAGTTATGGGCATCCTTCCTGCGGTCCAGTCCTTGGTACTGATCCATTGTGTTTCTTCCAGACCATGGTGTCCCACAAGGAATTTCAGACGGCTGGGAAGCAGCCCGGTCTGCAGATATGGCGCATCGAAAACATGGACCTTAAGCCGGTCCCCAAGCCCCTCTTCGGCAGTTTCTACATCGGCGATGCCTACCTCGTGCTCTACACAACTCCAGCACCATCCTACTCTCTGCACATGTGGCTCGGTGAGCATGCGTCCGGTGCTGATACCCGACCGACGTCCGAATCGATGGCTGGAAGGGAGAGTCTGTAACATGACCTCCTTCGAGCGAGCGTGTGCGCGAGTACCGGATGTGTTAGCTGCCGCAACACACAGCACTTCCTGCAATTATTATGCAAGCGCCAACCGTTTGCAATCTGCAGGCACAGGTAAAGAGTAGCTGGATGAAAGTTGGTCAGTTAAATTTGCCCAAAAGTACATATTCATTATTACTGTTCTCTCCCCCCATTAAATTACAGTAATCCCCTTTATGTGAATTACCATGGGCGCCAGGACATTCCCATAGTTCAGTGAGCTGGAGAGGATGTGTGTTGCACCAATCGAAAGCCACTTCCTTTTCGCAGGCCTAAATAAAATCTGGCTGCAGAAAGTCTGAAATTCCCTGTAAGCTTTGCAGATTCATCTATTTATATATAGAGCAGCAACAAATCTCAGAGCACAGCGTTCCCAGCCTGGGACCACGGCTGGTGCTGCAGGCCATTCTCTGCATGGAATCACAGTCGTCTTTCCAGTCATGAGAGAGCATTTCATTAACCAGAGTGGAGTTTCTCCCCAGAAATGCAGCAAATACACATTAATTACTCCCCTTTGTATTCTTCTGGTTTGCATGTCTGCACCCTTCTTAAGAACATAACCAAAGCTGCGGAGCTTGTTTTTGTGCCTCCAGAACTTTGGAACGACTGAAAATGTTGACTTAGGGCTCTTATGAACAGACAGTAATAGTGTGATCATTGTCTCATTGCAATACCTGCATGAGCATGCAACCATTCCAAAGCCGTCGCATGTTACTATGCATCTGTACCTGATTGTGGTGGGGCTTGTGGTGGGGCTGTGGTTGCACTGTTTCGTGTCAAGTGTTTTGAGGAAGAGGCTGCTTTCATGAGCAAGGCTGAAGTCGCTCACGATGACGCCCGAGATGCTGTGCTATAATCCTCCAATTTTCATACCCCTGCAGGAAATGAGTGCTCTCAGGATGAAAGTGGTGCGGCGGCCATCTTTGCTACACAGCTAGATGACTTCCTGGGTGGCAAGCCTGTGCAGTTCCGCGAGATTCAGGGCAACGAATCACTCGCCTTCTCGGGATACTTCAAGTCTGGTATCAAATACCAGGTGAGCTTCCCCAGCAACTGTCCATGATGCTTCACGAGTTCCTTTCTATTCCCCTCCGCTGTTCGCCCTCAGCAATGTGCCAAACCAGCGGACTTCTTAATAGATTATTGTTCTCATAAAAGGCAAAGTGTAGAGAAGTGTTTTTTGTTTTTGATCTTTGTCAATAATCAAACATTGTGATTAATAAACCTGGAAATCTGGACAAATAAAAGAACAGAAGAAAGATGAAGTTCTGCTTTCTGTTCTCAGATCTGCTTCTGCTTTTTTTTAGGTTTCCCTCTGCATTTTATACCTATATTTACGCAGCACTGGCTTAACAGCATTTAAAATATGCTTAGTTAGCCTTATAATTACTTTGTGGTGGATGATTCTCTCTCACACTCATATTAACATTTATTAATACACATATGTGGCTTCCTACTTTAAGAAATACATTTCTTCATATCTGTTGCAATAGACTCTTGACACAGTATTTCAAAATTAAGCATGTTGACATCCAAATAATATCTTCAGGTCTCTGAGACAGAGTAGTTGCAGCTCCGTTATCTTAAATGTACTATAGCACTTTGGAAGCAGTTCTGGGTTTAGAGAGTCCTGTTTGCCCAGGCGTAGGTTCTGGGCCCCTGTGGTGTGTACGGATGTTTTGTGTTTCATTCCACATCATGTCTTGAAAAACAAGGCATGATTACTCCTGAAACAGTCATTACTTTTCTCTCATGCAACATTTTTCCATAAAAGCACTGAGTTGCCATGGAAAAATCTACTTTGTCTCTCCTGAAAAAAATGGAGAAGTGCCTTTTTGGCAGGAAGATGCTGCATTTAATTCAGAATGGCTTTAACGAGCAGAGCAAATAGAAGCCATACGCTGTGGGACATGCAGGGAAACTGACTCATGTCAGCTCTCATTCTGAGGTTTTCTGATGCGAAGCGAAGGCACCAGTCCCACCTTCAGAGGATCTGCTGTTTTTGTCCAGCAGACTAACGCTCTGGGTCTTTAGAAAACGCCTTTCCTGAATCTCTGAGTCACTCTTGTGAATCCCTGTATTGTGAAGTGCGGTGAGTTTGCTGTTCCGACATGCTGCTGTTGGCATGCAGAAACCTTAAAAAGGGAGCTAGCCACCAGGAATGTTACAGAACCAGCTTGAGTCTCTTGCCCCCCCCCCCCCTCAGCAAAAACCCTTGTTATGTTTTAGACACTCCCTTGTATTCTTTCCCAAATGTGTTTCTGGCACGAATCACCTGGTATTGCAGGCACACCCTTGGGGTCCCTGTAAAGCCAGCTGTTATATGAAATGCCCCTCCCTTTGCAGAGAGGGGGTGTGGCCTCAGGCTTCAAGCACGTGGTGACCAATGACATGAACGTGAAGCGCTTGCTGCACATCAAAGGGCGACGGACCATCCGTGCCACCGAGGTGTCCCTGTCGTGGGGCAACTTCAATCAGGGAGACTGCTTCATCGTGGACCTGGGCAAGGTGAGCACCAACCTGGCACAGTCGCCACAGTTCAGCTGCACGCAGTCGGTCCCCAACCAGCATCTGAAGGGTGGATGATTGAATGATGTTGTAAAACCCAATGGTACATTTACGGCACGTCTTAGTCGCTTCACTGCAACGCGTCAGTGATGTTCCTCATTTTCACCCCCATCATGCTGCCCCAACAGGACATCTACCAGTGGTGCGGGAAGGAGTGTAACCGTTTCGAGCGAGTGAAGGCCTCGCAGGTGGCCATCGACATCCGCGACAATGAGCGCAACGGCCGTGCCAAAGTGCATATGGTGGAGGACGGGGCTGAGCCCGCAGCACTGGAGGAGGTGGGCAAAAGGGGGCACTAAACAGGAACTAAGTCTGGGAGGGGTGAACCAGGTTGACCCCCAAAAGCAACTCCCTCACTCGCGACTCCTCTAACACCAATGTGAGATTGGCAGTTTAACTTTGCTGAGGTCTACAAAGCAACATAAGCTGCATTGCCAGGAGCTTACAAACAGACTTAACACTTGACTGGATGACAAGGATTATAGGTGTCCGGCTGAAATTAACCCAATCTGTATTTTTAGGCCCTGGGTCCCAAGGGCACCATCGCCCCGGCGACTTCTGACGACGAGTCTGTCGATGTATCCAACACGAGGAAGGCTTCTTTGCATATGGTAACTCTTTCAGGTTCTGTTCCGATCCAAAGCGCTGAACGGAAAGTCTGCAGCCAAAAAACGTGCTGCACTTTCCAACAGGAACTGTTCAACTTTTGCAGCAAAGTTTTTATGATCTGACCAAAGTGTGGAAGTGAAATTAACTAATCAGTGTCAGAAGACTGGAGGATTAGCTCACTCTGTGGTTCCTGATGAGCTGCAGCGCCTCACAGGACCTGTACTTGTGACATGGACATTAAGTAATTTATTCAGCTGTGTTTAGTCACATTTAACCCTTTCGAAGTTGGTCGTTTCCACATCTGGTCCTTGCTGCACTGTTGTTGCTCCATTCCCAGTGCGAGATGGCTGTGTAACACTGGTCTTTGCTCCTGGGGCAGATCTCTGATGCCACAGGATCTATGAAGTCCACTTTGGTGGCCCAGGCGAGCCCCTTCAAGCAGACCATGCTCATCCCCGGCGAGTGTTTCATCGTGGACAACGGCTTGGATGGCAAGATCTTCCTCTGGAAAGGTACGGTGCTCCAGGATTCTGCTGCACACTTAAAGCCATTGCCGTGGTCTCCCTTTGCCGTTTGGTGCCTGAGATATGCTGCTTCCTCGATTAGGACCAGAAGCTAACACAGAGGAACGCAAAGCGGCCATGAAGACAGCCGAACAGTTCATTAAAGAGAAGAACTATCCCAAGACGACACAGGTAAACACAGCACTGACTGCACCATCCCACAATCCCTTGTGTTCTGACAATAACACTTAAGTTGCATTGTAATGAGCTCTAGAACTTGAACATGAAGGGATGGGTTTCTTTCTGGGGCACTCAAAATATCCCCCATCCCCACAGTGTACTGACTGCTTGCGGCCAGCAGAGGACCCCAAACCTCCACTGTAAACATATAATCTAAGCTGGTCTCTGTTCATTTCCACATGCCAGATTTTTTTTCTTGCAGATCCAAGTGATGCCAGCAGGGGGCGAGACAACCCTTTTTAAGCAGTTCTTTTCAGACTGGAAGGACAAGGATGAAACCACAGGTCCCACCCAGGCCTACACAATTGGCCACATTGCGAAGGTGAAGCAGGTGCCCTTCGATGCCTCCACCCTGCACACTAACAAGGCCATGGCTGCCCAGCACGGCATGGTGGACGACGGCTCCGGCAAGGTCCAGGTAAACTGATTTCCTGTCGGCCAGCATGATTTTCTGGAGCTTCTGAGGTCGGTAGCTGGCTGGAACGGCGAAGCCCCTGTCCTCGGTGGGTTCTGCGTGGCTGACGCCGCGTGTGCGTCTGCGCTTCGGTTGTAGATCTGGCGTATAGAGGGCGGAAACAGAGTCGCAGTGGACCCCTCCACCCATGGGCAGTTCTTTGGGGGTGACTGCTACCTCATTCTGTACAGCTACAAGAAGGGGAGCAGTGAACAACACATCATCTACAACTGGTGAGTGTACAGATCAGCCACAAAGGCTCAGTTTGGTCCAGACTACACCCATTTCTCAGAGTACAATACATTATCTAAAAAGGTGTGATCCTGGGCTGTGAGAAGGACTTCTACTCATAATTCTCAGTACACCCCCCCCCCCAGACTGGTTCTCCTGTTCTCTCTCAGCTCAGCCAGCACGCTGCATTATAACCATGCATGTATTACGCAGATGTTATTGTCCTGAGTGC